TCTCGAGTCCGAGTCCAAGTATAGTCATCAGTCCGGGAGTCCAAGTCGAGTCACGAGTCCAGAGGATGGAGTCTCGAGTCGGACTCGAGTCCAGAGAATAAGGACTCGAGTCGGACTCGAGTCCGAGTCCAGGACTCGAGTACTCCATCACTGTCCAGAACAGACCGGAGCTGGCGAAAGACCACGGGCAAACAGCAATTTTGTGGTGCAAGTGTGACTGTTGCGAACAGATGCCGACCGAAATTGAGAGCCTGTGCTGTTTAGAATGGGACCAGGTATTGCCATCGAAGGTGGGGGTCAGTGTAGATCCAGAAGACCCTGGACAAATCGCATGTGTCGCGGCAAGCGACGCGTTTGCAGCGATGATTCACCCGGCAGTCGTAAAATTTTTCTTTCCTCTCACGGTCCATAAGAGCTAATTCCTCCTCCGTGTACTCGGGTTCAAACAGATATGGCTCTGGGTCTGCTACAAAGAAGTCATAATCATCTACAAAGTCCGCCATTGCAAATGATCTGCAGTTTGCTAATAGCACAGGTAGTAAAAGTCACGTTGGTTGTATTGATGGAAATGAGAGGTAGGGGAGAGGAAGCGGGAGCCGGTAAGAGGACTTTTCACGAGTGATGATATTATTGCGCAAAGTCGAACTGCTCAAAAGCACTTGTTATGGTATTCCGCCATACAATATAGTCATCAATTTTAAACGCTTAGAAAAACACAACGTTTTATTTTATGTCACCAGCCTAGGTCGAGTTACACTACTCGAGTAACTGTGTTTAAATAGGGAAAACGAGGAAGTGTTTGGTCGCTTCTCTTTTTGGCCCATATTTAATGCACTGGGCTAAGCTAAGTGCTAACATAGTTTTGCGGCAATACAGAGCGATATAGTGCACGCACTGAGACGAGAGAGGTATGTATCAACTCGTCTTAGTTAAGGGAATAACATAGCTTAATATGAAAAACCGGTGGAGTATCCCTTTAATAATATTTATACTCTAGCACTGCGTCCACTCCACAGTCGACAACTGGCTTCGAGTCGGACGACGTCTCGAACACTCACTTGTGAATTGTAAGATCTCTAGTGTCTAGTCTAGTGCTGCGCAGCAAAGATCAAACCGACTCCAGCATTTGCCCTTGAATATGCTTTAATTAATCGGCCGGGAGTTTTGACAATCTCAGCTTCATCAAAAATATAACAGTTATAAAGGATAGAAATACAGAACACAGCAAAATAACATGACATACTCGTGATCATTGTGTCAGTCTTCTCGTATTTGATTTGTTCAATTTGTGCAAAAACAGCATCAATTCACACCCTCTTTAACAGGCAAGACAAATTTAGATCGAAATCGTAAAAATCATGGGGTTGGTAATTCAGTGTTATTTGATCGTCGATTACTCAATATATCATGATACCTCAATTTATCTTTGGGGTCTATATGACCCCAATCGACTTTTCCATAGTAGGTAAACATGGTTCCTTCATCTCAGTTGCATAAAATTGTCACTTTTTCTACATTATCTAGCTATACACACACAAAAAACTGGGCTTGATTCAGTTGTTTAAAAAGGTATGTAAAAAAACAACAACAAAAAAAACCCACATATGGTCTTTGGGGTCAACATTTAAATGTATGGGGAAAAAAAATGTGTTTTTTATTTTTAATTTGTCAAAAAAAATCAATAAATCTGAAAATTTCCATACCACAATGAAGTCCTGGTACTAGAGCACAAATGCAATGTGGAACGAACATGATCACTTGCACACACACTTGCCCGCGCACCCAAACAATCACACAGGTGTGACACCAATAGAAAGCATTTTTATAGAAATTGACAAATAAAATCAATAATTCCAGCATAAATCTGAACATTCTCACACATAAATGAAGGCCTGGTACTAGATCACTAATGCAATGTGGAATGAACATTATCACACTCACATGTGCGCCCACACAGACACAAATACACACACATATAGAGAGAGGTGTGACTGCAATAGAGATCATTTTTATAGAAATTGGGAAATAAAATCAATAATTTCTGCATAAATCTAAAAAGTTTCACACATAAATGAAGGTATGGTATGAGAGCACAAATGCAATATGGAAAGAACATGACCACACACAGATCACATACACACAGAGAGACACACACAAACAAACAAACAGGCGTGACTGTAAAAGAGTAAAAAAAATATCCAACATGAAACTAAATATGTTCACACATAAATGAAGGCCTGGTATTAGAGCAAATAAACGATGTGGAATAAGCATGTTTACACACATATGCATGCACAGACACACAGGTGTGTTTACACTTCACTCCTGTTCCAATCCGCCTATAGCTGTTTGTTTTTTGTTTTTATTTACTTGATAAAAATGAATTTCTTATTCTAAAGTTAATAATTTTATACATTTCGATTATTGAAATATGCAATTGCAATCAAGTGTTTTCTTATAGTGGCAACTGATGTGGCATTACTGCAAATTTATATAGCATTATTGCAATAACAAGACACTTCAAAAGACCTCAGACAACAACAAAAAATAATTGTTGACAAAATACAGATTTATTGTATTTTAAAATGTTTATATATATATATATATATATTTCATAACAAAAGCTGTTATAAGAGCAGTAAGTCACATCCAGAAAAATGAATGGATCTCTATGAGGCCCCTGCTGGAAGTATATGGTAATTACACTTTCTGGCTAAAACTGTTATCTACAAAAAAACATCTAACCAACATGTTGGCAGAATTATGCATCTAACACCTACAGTAGATCAATATCCATAAACAACTCATATGTAAATTTGATCATCTTTAATGTTTTTTTTTTTTCATAAAAATGTAATATTTCATATGTATGCTAATGGTGTAGTTGAGGAATTTTGTAGTAAATAGGTAAAAAAGTACTTCATATCCCCCAAAACACAGCATAAATATATAGATGAGAAGTAAACGAAAAAAATGTATTTATATTTTGTATTATTAAAATGTATATATTTTTTTGTACAATCGCTCTATACATGTTTGGGGTCATATAGACCTCAAAGATCATAAGTGTAAATGGGAAACAAAGATCATATGAGGGTTAAATGTAGAAAATCTGTCTATCTTTAGAGTTTCCAATCTTATTGAGACAGCAACCTTGCCAAAAAATACTGCGGATACATTATTATTTTCAAATGTTAAATGTTAGGCCTGTAAAGAGAAACAAATGTTAGGTTATGATTAGTTTTTAAAATTCCCACTACAAACGACACGAGGGTGAGTAATTCTTTTTTGGGGGAACTATCCCTTTAAGACACTGGGCCTCATTTATCAATCTAACATAGAAAAGAGAAAATCATCTTACGACCGGGTTCACGTGTGATTTATTGAACATTATTATGCTGCCAATCCCATCGTATGAATGATCGTACTTTGATAAATGTGGCGGCTGCAAACAATCATCATTTGAATATCACACCCCTAAAAATTTAAAAGCCTCGCCCCTAGAGTTTACAACATGGGAGAAACGTAACCCAGCCAAGAAGAGGAAGAAATCTCATGAAAGAGAAATTGATCTAACTCCAAAAAACCTGTTAACCTCATAAATGCAAACAATTATATTAATTTATATGTATATTTAATACTGGTAAATAAAACAAATCATTTACAAACACTATCAACTTGGCTATTTTCTCCTCACTCCACAACAAATTCCTCAAATTTAATGGTATTCAGAACAGATAATATATATATATATATATATATATATATATATATATTACATAGCTATAAATTATATGTTAAACTAAAATAAAACACAAATTAGGCTATAGTGGGATTCATAATAGGCAAAATAAAGGCTAAAGGGCTCACCTCTCTCGTTTGGCTAGAATCCAAATATGTTTCCATATTTTGCCATGTAACATTTGGTTGCTAAACTATTATTCATTGTAAAAAAGGCTTTGTATTTCACTCGTGTTCCAATATCCACATAAAGCATCCTTCATATGCGCAAAACTGTGTTTGGTTGGGCGCTGCACGCTGATTTTTACAGCAGACCATTTAAATTGAGCAGTGTAACTTTTATGTTTGGTTGACTGCGTTTTAGTTTGATGAATGGCTGAAATGTCACGTTAGCAACGCTCGAACTGATATGTTGTGTGTGTGCGGCACTGTGTTCGCGTGAAGCGTCTGTGCGATCAGTTGGATTTAAGAAAATAAAGAAAACAAATACAAACACAGTATGTGTGTCACAAAAACGAGCGTAGCTTATAGTACTTTTATATACGTTTTTTTCCCCTTTTGTTTATCTGTTAATTAAGTGAAATATAATGTGTAGTCCTATTTATTTTATTCCTTTTATGTAGGACTAGTTAATTTTAGTTTTAATTTCTAGTTAATTACTAGTTTAATCTGTTTTTATTCTGCGCTGCAGGTGCAAGATGTGACGGTGTGAATCCTCATGTTCTGTTGTTTATGGTGCTATTTGCTCATGTAAAGCTAAACAACATTTGTGGTATTTTTAATGTATTTTTAATTTTTGACACCCATCTTTAATTTTAATTTGACATAATCTAGTCGTTTAACATTTAATGATCGATTAATGACCTTCAGGAAAATAATCTAAATGAAGAAAATGCTCTCCACAATTCTCCGCCAGATTTATGCTTTACGCAAATTCATGCTAATTCAAAAACTTGCGTACATGAGCTGAGACCTGACGTGATGCCAAGTTTTGTGTGGAAATAGCCGAATGCCCAGCTTTATACATTTTTTATTTTATTTTTTATGAATGAGGCCCAATGTTCCTCAACAGTATTTACACGCTCTTACATTTTTGGTAAGAAAACTATGAAAAAAAAAAAAAAATGAAAGTATGAGAATTGATGTTGTGACCAAAACGTAGACATTCTCCCAAACAACTTTTTTGGTGCATTCTGCGATTGTTCTTTTTTCTGTTTAGATTCTGCCTAACATGAGTGTGTCTGATTGTGTTGAAATAGGTGAATCCACTCCTCGAGGCCTTTGGAAATGCTCAGACGGTCATGAATGACAACAGCAGTCGCTTCGGGAAATATATCCAGCTCCGCTTCCAGAACTCTTCAGGTTTGTAAAAAGATAACACACTTCTCTCTGACCGTAATGGATCATATAACTTGGCAGCTTCCACTGGGTGTGTTTCTTTACCAATAAATCAATTCAGTATTCTCCGATTGAACATTAACTTGAATTTTGATGTCTTTGTAGTCAAAGGGGCCAAAATCAACGAGTACCTCCTGGAGAAATCCCGTGTGGTTCACCAGGATGAGGGTGAGCAGAACTTCCACATCTTCTACTTTATGTTGGCCGGCATTTCCATTGAGGATAAAGAGATATATGGCCTCCTGGATCCTACGCACTACCGGTGAGTCATCAATGATGTCATGCATTCGTAAAAACAGGATCAGCCACATTGTTTACGATGCATGTCCTAGATTAGCATTTTAACAATGTTGTAGTTTATTGGAGGTGTGTCACACGTCGCCTCCTACTGAACTATTTGTGTCACGAACATGGGCATGTTCCTAGGACAGTGTTCATTGTGTAAAAGGTCGATACAAAACGTTGTCAGATGATACTAAGATCTGATTGGATGAGCCACATTTGAAACCACTCAAGGTTGTGTGTTAGAGTGGAAAGGATTAAAATATAAATGTTTAAATTTTAGACCGTTTTTAAAGCTATTTCAGCTTATAAATTGTATTAAATGTAACTTTCCATTTGTGTTGGAGGTCAAATATGCCCCCTATTGTTTTTTTTTTGTGCAAAACTATGAAAAAGAGTCATGTTTTTGACATAAAACCTCTATTGTAGCTTGTCAGAGACTAAAAATATATAAAATATGAGAAATTATGAACTCATATATTGTGTTAAAATGATATTTCATAAATTTGTTTAAGCTTCCATTTAACCCAATTATCTTTCAAATTAGCTGCACAGACACAAAATAAAAACATTTCTTTGTTTTTTATTGTTATTGACTATTTGACTATTTTCACACTGATGTGCAAATAAATACAACTTAGTGTATATATAGTAATATTAATTGTTCTTGGTTTAAAGGCATAATTTGTAAGATTTTTGTATTAAAATATCATACTAGCACAATGTTATATAGTTTTGCTGACTTGTGTACTTGCATTATCCCAAATGTTTCCAACAATGTATAAATCCAGAGAAATCAGCTATTTAACCATTGTACCGGTCTGTGTCATTGCGTCTCCTGTCAATGACATCATATAATAAACTTTATTTTATTTTATATATAGCGCCTTTAAAAAGCGCCTCACAAGAATATAAATATGATAAAACATACAATTAAACCAACAATGCATTACTGACAAAAAAATCGGACAAAATACAAAATAAAAACATTATGAAATGTTCGATTAATAATAAGGCAATTATGTAAAAGCTACCCTACACAAATACGTTTTAAGGGATGATTTAAAAACACTAAGGGATTCGGCTTGCCTAATCTCCGCATCACCCCCGATTTTCGTTTTTACCTTTTTTTGGTGTAGAAACCATGGAAAGACCAAAGACGCTTTAATATATGATGTTTTATTAGACGGGTGAGCAACTGTTCGGATACCTTTATCGACAGAAAAATAATCATTGTTATATAGCTCAACAAGTTTAGTCTTATTGTTTGAATCTCTTGTTTTCTTGATTTTACCGCGAGTAACATGTTTGTTACATGCAAATGAATACAACTTAGTATATATAGTAATATTAATTGTTCTTGGTTTAAAGGGATAATTTGTAAGATTTTTGTATTAAAATATCATACTAGCACAATGTTATATAGTTTTGTGGACTTGTGTACTTGCATTATCCCAAATGTTTCCAACAATACCCAAAAAGTAAATCAGATATGACTATTTTGTCAAGTGGCTAACATAGGGGTATGACGATAACCGCATCACCGCAATATCGCGTTAATGAGATGCCTACCGCGCGGTGTGAGGTCATCACCGCATTTTTATTTATTTTATTTTTTTTTTCTGCTGAAAGTTACATGAGTGCCTATGGTGTGTGATATGAACTATAAACACTTTAATCTTTGCTTATAATTTACTGTATTCCGCGAGTCCTATGTTCAAGGGCTTCTGGAGAAGTGGAGGGACAGTCCATTAAACATATGGGGGATTTATTTTGTGTGTGCGTCTTATTATTAATTACCTAGCACTAGCAGTACTTGTGATGTTTACAGATAATGTTCAATTAAATACACACAAACACAGGCATAAAAGACAAAAGCACTCGCACGAGGTGGTTTTTCAGGCAAATCGAAAAAGGAATATTTAGCAAAACTGCAATGGAAACAGTTTTTGGCCTTAGAAAACCAGTAAAATCTAAAAAAAATTTGTTTTCATATTAATTTGTGAATATTTTAAATGTTTAATAGAGGGGCAAAAAGTCATGAACAAAAATATGAAAATTCGTCAATATTTTATTTTTTTGCGCAGCATTTGGTGTGTACAGGTCAAATTAAAATTTTGGTGTTCAACTATGCGTTTTAAAAATACAACAACCGTTAATTTTTCGTTTTGCAATTACGAGTTATATAAGGAAAAACGAATGGACACAAAAGTACACTGACCGTTTGGACATAATACGAGACCGAGTTCTTTATTAAATTTATAAAATATAAAATAATTACAGGAATACTGGATTCTAAACCTCAAAGAAATGCCACAATCAAGACCTCGGAGCAGAAATGAGGGAGAAACACCCATGAACTCCTGGCTATAGGCCTATGTGCCTATATAGGGTCTTTCCATGCCATAAACACTTGGATAACACACCACGTCTCCTTCCATAAATAATAATAGGCTAATGTTTAGTGCGGTGGCTCTGATATAGGCTATAAACCTACATTCGTCCGTTGCCATGATTTTTGGAATGACTTATCCCGAGAGGGAAAAAAAAAGTTTTAGTCGCATAACATCGGTTAATGGAAACGCCGTCATTTCGCAATAGTTTTTTATCGACATTTAGAAAAAATCGGTTACCTGCCAAACCGCGAGATATGTTGCTTCTTCACTGCGGTAAGAAAAAATCCCACACCGTCACAGCCCTAGGCTAACATGGGACAATCAGAAAGAGCTTTATTTGTAGTAACAGTAATACAGGATTTTCTCCATCATACAATATACTTTTAGTCGTTTAGCAGCACAAGTCATCCAGGTTTTATTAATATGATATTCTAATATTAGTCTAGCTTACTGCGGTGTGCAACAAGTGTCTCAGCCAGCCACAACTGTATTTTTAGTGATTGTTTTGACCTAGTAAAACAGCTCTGTGTTACCCCACAATTTTAATTTGTCAGATAAAGTGACCTGTACAAGTAGTAATTAAGCACTTGCGGCTGTTTTTGAAATATAAGTAATAATATTAATGAAATAAAATAAGATGAATTTAAGTGATCAAACCTAACTTGATGGAGGCGGGAACCGGCAAATATTAATGTTAAAATTTTACGTTAAATGTTAAAGCTGCAGTAGGGAGTTTTGAGAAAATGTTGACTTAGCCTGAAAATTTGAACAAGCACAACTTACAGGTCCCACCCCCTTGCTCTCTGCTGCGCTACAGCCCTCCCTCCACAGCTCGTCCTCCACAGCGGAGCCTGTCGTGAACGCGCAGGCTAGTAAACAGGGCCACCGATAGCGATGATGGCGGATTATAAACAGTTATGGAACATTCACTAATAGGGACGAAACATCAACAATATGCTTTATACTGACTATGGCCTGCCCATACTTTGACTACAAACTTGGTCCTCAAATCATTATGTATTTTGCAATACATGTAACTTTATAACGTTGCACTCTTTCTATAAGTTATAATAGCTAGTAAGATAATGTAAAAGGATTAGTTCACTTTAAAAAAAAACTTTTGCTGATAATTTACTCACCCCCATGTCATCCAAGATGTCCATGTCTTTCTTTCTTCAGTCGAAAAGAAATTAAGGTTTTTGATGAAAACATTCCAGGATTTTTCTCCATATAATGGACTTCAATGGGACACAAACGTTTCAAGGACCAAACAGTTTCAGTGCAGCTTCAAAGGGCTTTAAACGACACCAGACGATGAGTAAGGGTCTTATCTAGCGAAACGATCGGTCATTTCAAAACTAAATAAAAAACTTTAAGTTTTATAAGCACAAATGCTCCCCTTTGCTCTGTTCTGTGATGCACGTTCGTGACTCTCCTGTTCGTTGAATGAACGAAATGACTCTGAAAAAGACTCGTTCAAAATGAACAATTCTTTTTTTCGAGTCATTTCGTTCGTTGAATGAACGAAATGATTCGAAAGAAGATTCGTTCATTTTGATGAACGAGTTCGAACAGGAGAGTCACGAACGACGGTACGCGCTCGCGCTGTGCAAGAGAGGGGGGATCAGCGCGGACACGAGCTTGATTGACACTGCTAAGACATTCCTCCTGGCTCTGATTGGTTGTTTCTGACCGGGAGCGTGTATTTCTACAAATGGCAATAGGACCACTGGGAGGAGCCAGAAGAGCTTGATTTTTTTTTCACAGAATATCTGTCTCATATTCTACTGTCAGGACATAATGACAGTTTTAACAAATATTTGTTTACAAAAGTTACCTACTGGAGCTTTAAATGTTACTTTAATTGTAATAGACAAAAACAACAAAACGGCATACAAGCATAATTAAAACGGCAACGTAAAATGTCCCAGGCTCTTGATGCGCCCTGCTACATACCACAGTAACAGTACTAAAACTTAAATGCATTAACTCATCTAAGAACATGGTTTCTGCTGGAGTCCTGTTGGATTGCTTTCCATGGACTGTGAGTGTAGAATCATGGGAGCTGTCATCTTCACCTCCATTCACTCCGTCATCAAGCTATGCCTTTGTTACTGTTTTGAATAAGCGAAACTCAAATACTGTGCCTTTAAATGGTATTTATTTGTTATTTGTAAAAAGCCTCTGCCTTTTTGTTATGTCTGGTTCTCAAACCCTTGTGAGGGTAAAATACAGTAGGTTGATCACACTTCTTTTCAGTGCGGCAACTAATTAGTTACTGTGATATAAAAACCAAAAACATCCTTCCCCCGATATTTGTTCAACTGTGAAACTCAAATAGATGAAGAAACAGCAAATTCCCCTTTAATGATTCAGAAGACGAGTCTTCGGTTTTGAATAAAGTTTTCATGTATTTCATATTTAGCCTTTTACAACCTACAGTAAAGGTTTTCTGTTGCTTTTTGGCAAATTACATGGAAACAAAAGGTCAATTTTACCCCCAACACAATTCGTAGTTTCTAAAGTTTGTAAAGTCTTTACAACACACATCTGTGTTGAAACTTTGCATGCACATTCATGACCTAAATGATAAAAACTAATTTAAAAAAAATGTCAAAAGAAATAAATAGTTTAACCAGCATTTCAAATTGACCCACAACACAATAGTAATTCCTAAAAAACTAGCAGTTAGCCTACTGCTAGTTTTTTAGGAATTAATATAGTGTTGTGGGTCAATATAGTCAATAGTCTTGGGTTACATATTTTTGTTCTTGTCAGTTATTTGAATGGCAGGTTTGGGCAGGCAGACGTAGTGCAGTCCTGGCGTGTGAAATATGCTGAGGTGTGTAACGCCATGGACATGGTGGGATTTGAAGAGCAGGTAAGAACTAAACTCGCTGTAGATGTCAAGCAATGACAGCGGTGTCCTGTGGTTTGAATAAATGCTTCATCTACAACTTTAAATAACATTTACTCATAACATTAGATGCTACATTGAATATTTGATAATTTTGATTAGATTTGATCATTTTTACACCACAGTACCATTGAGGTGAACTACAAAAAGATGTTTCACACCATTTTTAATGTATTTACCTTTCCCGTTTCACATTCACATCATCTCGTTTGTAGGAAAAGGTGGACATGATGACTATTCTAGCTGGCATTCTGTCCCTGGGGAACATCACCTTTGAAACAACAGACAGCGACGCACTGAAGGTGTCAGAGACGTCACGCGGCTGGTTAAAAGCTACTGCAGTGAGTTTCCTGTTTGCACTACTTGCAGATGTGTGGCAACACACAATTGGTCACAATTCACAGGTCATCATGACACTCGGCGGTAGATGTGACAGCTCTCAACCACTGTAAAATGCATTTTTAACAACAGTGCTGTTTTTAGTGTACAAGTGTGAAGACAACTGGAAAGAAAAGTTTGAATCTCAAACTCTGAAAACCTCAGCAGACCTTACGGTGCAAATGCTTGTACTGATGCATGAAATAGACAAAGGAATATAGTTGATCAACCTGGGCTGCATTTCCCAAAAGCAAATTATGGTCTGGAAAATCGCAAAATCGCGATATGGCTCAGTGTGGTTATCAATTCACAAAGGCTGTGATTTAATTTAAATAAATATATGCGCTGCGTGTTTCAGAGTGAAGCGCAGCACTGTGTTCGTTTACACACAAGCAGCTTATGATTTGGTGTTTTCAGTGTCTCAGAGCTAATAATAATAATAGTAATATTTCTTTTTTGTTTAATATATTTACTTAATTAATTGTTATTATTATAATAAACATTTTGGAGAAATTTGCTGCCCTACGAAGCAAAGCAAACCTCCCCCACCCCCCTTTTTGCTTTAGAACAATTTTATCAGAAAAATAACAACAATTGTTTTTTTATATATATATCGCATATCCCTAAGTTATGTTCATCTTTTAAAGGGGTCATATAATGGTACATGCACTTTTTCAAGTTGATTGTACTGAAATGTGTGTTGGCAGTGTCTGTACACAACCATCATATAATGATAAATATCCATCCAGTGTTTTTGTTTTAATCTCCTTATATGTTTTCCCCTGCCTCAAATCAAGCCGTTCGACCGTGTGACGTCACACGCTCGGAAGCCCCTCCCACGATTGTTGAATGACAGCAGCGTTTCAACACAGACCCGCCCTCGCTCGTGAGAGCTGTCAATCATAGTCTGCGCGGACCGGCGCGGTCATTGTTGATATGCTGGAGCACTGTCTATGAGCAGAATGGCGTCTAAGCGATTGTGGTGTTCTGTTCTTGGGTGTAATAACGAACACAGTCATTTTAATGTTCCTAAATCCGAACCGCTGAAGACGCAGTGGCTGAGTTTGTTTTCGAAGGGAATATTCCCCACGAGCAACGTCAATGCTTTCATGTTTGCGCAAATCATTTCTCACCAGACTGCTTTATAAACGAGGGTCAGTATAAAGCTGGATTTGCTAAGAAGCTGCTCATGAATAAAGGATCGGTAGCAACTATTCGTGTTCCTGCTGAACCTCCAGAAGAACTGAAGTGAGTGTAACGTTTTATTAACCTTTATATTAATATTTATATTTTTGCAAATCGCTTGCACGCTTCACAATGAATGCGTCTAAGGTTTACACTCAGGGTACATTACGGCATGTTTTCTATGTACGACGTTCTCAATATAATTCATAATCCCACGTTTATAATGAACAACGCGTGGTTATTGTGTTATTGTGTTACAAACGGTGTGCGCACAGAACAGAGGGGCGGGGTGAGCGCAGCTCATGATCATTTAAAGGCATATGCACTGAAACGGCGTGCTGAAAACAGAGCTGTTTTTGACCAAGTAAAATAAGTGTTTTCTTACAATACTAATGAGAATTTTTAATTAAAGTATATTACAAACTTTTAATTTAGACCCTAAAGAATCTTGTACAAAAATGGCATTGTATGACCCCTTTAAATATTTCGTTCCCTAGCTAATTTTGAGTGCATTTAATATATATATATATACACACATATATATATATATATATATATATATATATATATATATATACAGTATATATATATATATTAGGGGTGTAACGGTTAAAAGACAACGCATATAACAGTATCAGTGTACTGAGTTAGTGCATTATGTCTTAAAGAGACAGCAGCCTAAGATTCCTGCTGTCTGTTTTTTAAATGTTTATCAAACAACAAAAGACAAGGGAATCACTCAGAGCTCTGGATTTAATAACTTTTTGTAACTTTAATAAGGATTAAAAAACCTGAAAAGCACTGTTTATTTTATTAGTATCTTTGCTCTATTGTATTTATTTGTGCTGTTGCTTGTAGTTAGATTATTTGTTCTTGTTTTCTTTATTTTTATTTGACAGTAATCCTTTTTTCCCTGAACATAGCACAAACCAAACCGTACCGAAACCGTGACCCTAAAACTGTGATACAAACCAAACCGTGAGCAATTTTATATATATATATATAAAAAAAAAAAAATCCAAAAAACTGGGGAAAAATAAAGATAAAATCACTGTGCTTTATTGACTCAGGGTGCATAGATTAGTCAATGCTGGAGCTTTTTTCTCAAAAGAGCAATGATCCGCAATTTTTTTAAACTTTTTTTTTGTTTTTGTTTTTTACATTGTGCAACAGCACATGCATAACAAATGGAAACATTGCTATGTCGTTGCTGTGGCTTTACTAAGGTCAGTCAGTCATTAGCCTGATGACTGAAGCCTGAAGGTGTTGATTTAAGCATTTAAGTTGTTGCTAGTGTGTTCTGGGTGGTTGTTTACAGGGAAAAAACAAACTGCATGATTTTCTCACCCCTAGATATGAGATTTTATTTTTGTTCTCAGCTGTTTTCTGCTCCAGCAGGTGAAAAGGGTGTGTCTGATCACATAGTAAAGTAACAGCACACTCTCCTCAACAACATGCATGATTTAAGAAAACATTTAAGGATGACGAACATGCAGAACTTTAATATTTAGTGCTATAGATTTGTTCACATCACTGACGCCAAACCATGAGCAACAGTAATATTGACGCTTGAAGCGTCACCTCGACCTCCCTACTGTTTAATCAGGTGAATTACGGCCTGTGTGCACACAAAGAAACTCTTAAAAGGGCAAGCTGAAGGAGGCGTGGGTCCGCCTACATCTGGCCTTTTACGATAAGACACACAGCGCAGAAAGGCCAGAAGTGGCTATGTTTAGACTCCATTAGGTCGTCCTAACACGTATGGGGGAGTTAATAGTAGCACGCTGCATTTCCCTGACACAGGACCATTTCCTTTTATCAAATCTACTGGCGTACTTTAACTTATATACATTGGTACAACAAAAGGCACATCAAATCTAATTTGCCCAATCCGGTCCATGTGTCCACAATGGCCCCCAGCATCTAAATGCACAAATTAACGTGACCTTTCCTGTATGACATTTACGTCTTGGTCACATTTGACTAGTCATTGTTCTTTCAAAATGGCAGGGTCTGTTTTTTTTGTGTGTTTTTTGGTAGCACAATTCATTTGGTCTGTTTGCATTGCACAATGTGATTTAGCTGACAGGACATGTTCAGCATTCTTTGTTTTTTTTTCTTCTAAAATAACATTCCTTTAAAAGAATCACTAATCTAACCTCAGGTGCGTATGCACTTCTTGGGAGAAACCAGGGCTGCACAATTTTGAGGAAAACAAATGTAATTGCAATGGAAAGGCACTATATAATTAAAACGTATTATTATTAAGTACGGAAAGATGGTTTGTGCATGTTCTCTCTTTTTTTTTTAAAGCAACCCAAACTCAGAGCAGATGCAGAGATGGAGTTTGTGAGGAGCAGCGTTTACTGTGAACCGAACCGCTGAGACACTAGCCATGTTTCACCCACCTATTTTTATTCAAATTTTAGGATATTGCATAAAAAAACGTTGGATGGAAATGCCAAGATGTACATAAATTCTATAAATGTGTATCATAAACTTATGCACTCAATTAAGTCAGATAAAAAAAAAAAATTCCGATAAGACATGCGCATAAACTCAATGGAAACACATTTATCAAATAAATCCCTCGATGCGCAAAAGAAAAGCTCACGTGACTTTGCCTCAACAGAGAATGTGATTGCATAACTGGACTAACCAGCAGATCCGTTTCATGGCACAACATCTAAAATGTTGTTTTAATTATTTTAAAATGCCTGATCCAAAGTCTGTCATCAAAATTATTTGGTTTAATTCCCTTCCAGAAGCGTCTCACATGATTGCTTTCACAAAAACCATCTTGCATTCGAACGCAAGAGAATATGACAGTGTCGCAAATTAGCTTTAAAGAAATAACTTGTTATAATTGATTATGAATATTTGGATCAGTTTATAGAAATTAACTTAATGTAGTAAAAATTTATATTACAATCAATTAACCTGTTTGTGCAGTGAACAGTGTTAACTGTTTGTGCAGTGTTAATTGTTTATTAATTCTAAGAAATGTACATTTCCGGGGTATGGGAAATGTCTTTCTTACTGTACAGTACTATTCAGAGCCTGTAGTCAAAATCTACATGATTAGTGGCTCCAGATATGAGCTTGAGACACGGACAACTTTACATGTGGCATGAACAAGACTTTATTAACTAGATTAGACACTTAAACTACTCTAACATACACATACATACATGCATACAGTTTACAAAAGGAAAGAGAGCTGAAGCAGAATACAGGAAAGCAAGAAGTTACAGCATTGTTTGAAATTCAGCAGATCAACAGCCTGAGCAAACCATGAGTTTAGTTCTAACACGCCCTTCTTTAAAAGGGGTAAGGATACTTAATGTATCAAATAATGAGACTAAGGCCTTGCCCACATGGACACGGGTATTTTTATAACCGGAGTTTTTCCTACAGTGTTTGAAAAAAAAATCCCGTCCACACATGCTCGGTCTCAGTCTACATGAAAACGCAAAAACACGCTATCAAGCGCGGTCAAGAGCATTCCACGCCAGCAGGCGGCGATATAAACCTTAACCGCAAAGCCACGTTGGCCAATCAGAAGCGCAAATCTGATGTCAAACACAGCGGATTAATGGCGCACACTCTGACGTCACAAGGCAAAAACCCCGGTTTCACTGTCTACACGACAACACTGTAACCGCCGTTTCTGAAAATCCTCACCCTGGCAGGGGTTTTCAAAAATGTTCGGTTTCAGTGCGTTTTCGTGCGGACGAACAGCCGAACCGCGTAAAAAAAGTCACTGTTATAAAAATACCCATGTCCGTGTGGACAGTGCCTCAGTTTGATACTTGCATGTCTCGCCCATTTGAATTAAACTGTCATGATGCAATTTGTTGAGGTTCCAGTTGATCTTTGCTGATGTTGTCTTGATGAGAGAAAACCAGTGGGAGTCCGAGGATCTTTGGGGAATGGAAAGACAAGGCCGCAGCCTGACACAGGCTTGGGGGTCCTTAGAAAACCTCTAGTTCAGCATCATTTTCACATCAGGATTTCAGAAAGGGACTAAGAGACGTGATCTTGTGATCAGTGATTTTTAAAGCGTGAAGATGTCATACCCTCTGGAGTGTTGTGAGCCAATTTGGAGGGAAATATTTATGACCCTTTGTGTTCTAGCTGGGCATTTGAACATGTAATTTGGTTGTTTAAGAAAAGAATCTTCAAGATTCTTATAATACTAATGCGTCACCAAGTTAGCAAAATGTAATGTAAATTAACAAATGGGGGACAGAGATTGGAGTTTTTAGAGACTAAACATGCTACATATATGATTTTGGTTAACCATAGTATGCAAGTCTGAAACATTAATCCAAAAGAGTTTATAAGAGAGAGTGCATATTAGGCCAAACCACATAAAAGGAAAATCATGAGATGCAGAGCTGCCAACTCTCACGCATTGGCCGTGAGACACACTCATTTGATTGGTTTCACACGCTCACACGCCACACCCACGATTTCTCACACTGAGGTGTCAACCCGGTCGGTCAAATGCCTGAAAGATGATTTTATCTATAGATCTACCTGTGGAGCCACTCATGATCGACTATGCCGCAAATGAGTTTAAATCTCCAGGAATCTAGAGCGAGCGCTTGCGAGACAGAGACTGTGCTCCAAACTGCATAGCGCGCGCACGGCAGAGAGGGAAAGCGAGCGAGAGATCGTGCGTGTGCAGTGAGCATCCTAACCTAGAAACAGGACAACCCCCCCGTTGGCGAAGTCTTACTCCGAGCTAAACTCAAAAGTTGGCAGCTATGGAGATGGGAAAATTAGATGCATGTTTATACATTTCTCAAGTGGTTATATATAGAATATATAGGATGAAAAGAGTTTATTTCTCCTTCTCAGCAAGAATTAAGTGAACGTCACAACTCTCTGCAGATTCTTTTCTTGGTCGTAAAAGTCTTATCAGTCTTAATGTGTCCTGTAACAGGACACCGGGTTCTGCCAGTGTTGGCTTCATTTGGAATGTTAGGGCGTTTTCACACCTGAAAGTCCGAACAAGGTCCGAACCAAAGTTCACGTTTTGATACATTTTATACTTTCAGAAAGTTTGGTTTCACACTGCAATGGGCTCTATGCACGGCGGTATTTCCGGTGAAGGTCTAAGGATGCTGGATTACTTCCGCCGATCGTAGAGTCCAATGCTATACCGAGAATTTATATTGGTTTTTATACTCTATTGCTATACTAAAGAAACGTTAGCCACAAAAAACAGAGAAAACAGACACCCCTCATTTTGTTTATGCTTCTTTGTTTATTATATTAAATAAACATAACTATATATAAAATTACATCTAAACGTATTAAAGTTTCGTTTCAAAGACGAGAGGACAGTAAATTTTGAAGACTCTGCTATAATCCCGTTTTCCTCGGGTTTCCTCCGCTTTAAATCTCCCCAACCGGAAACGCAAGAGCATCCTTGCATCAAACGCGGAAGTTATGCGTGCATATAGCCCATTATGCGAGCGCACTAAAGAACTTTACGTGACACACTTGCGTCCTGTCGTCATCATCTATGCGAGCTGCATCTTGACATTGATTGGTTTTGTAAATGGACGTGCGTCTGACGTCAGCGTGTTGTCAATTCGGCGGGTAACTTTGACAACATGAATGAACAGACGCATATCGTTGCAACTATATTGTTATTTATATGGCATAATTACCTGCAGCACCAACTATACACAAGGCTAGTTCAAATTCGCCAAATGAACGTCCTCGTCGTGCGAACATTTTATCGTCGCCGGCAGGAAAGGAGGAGAAGTTGACTTCTTATTATGTCATCAGACCATACTTCAATTAAAAACCTCCTCTCCCCATGTGCTACACGGCTCATTTTTCCTGCCACCTTCTGTTTTTTCGGCTATGCGGGAACCACCGGAACTTCCTGTAAAAGGTCCGAAAGTCCGAACCATCCAGAAATGCTTTCACACTAGAAACGAACCAAACCTTTGTTCAGTTTGATCCGGACCGAGACTACCTCTTTTCGTCGGACCAAATTTCATCTGTTTGGTTCGGACCGTTGTCCGGGGGAGGTTTCACACCTGTAATTTTGATTCGGACCAAACTGAAAAGTCAGAAAGTCCGGACCAAACAAGGTAGGTGTGAAAGGGCCCTTAGTTGTAGTTTTGGGGGGAAGTTTCATAGACCTTTGTTGGGAGAGTGAGTTTGCTGGATTATTCATTAAATATAATGAATGATTTGTGTGTGTCTGATTGGTCCAGATGCTACATACAGCGTTTATTGCGTTTCATCTGCGTGCTCTGAGACGCAATTAATTTATGATGTAGGAAAAAAGAGCCACAATGGCTTCCCTGATTGCAGCAACTTCCATTTTTATTTCAGATATTTTAAGCCAATTTTCCAGGAAGTGACGATTTTCTTCTCTTGAACACATGGGATGGAAACGCTGCTTTATTCGCAAATGTTTCATGCGATATTCCAATTTTGCTCATAAGTTAGTTAAATTGCCAACTTTGGATATAAACATACCTAGAGGCAACACCAGTGAATGAGCTTCTCGCATATAAATGAACACAGTGCTGCACTTCCCTCATGCAGCATCCAGTGCATCGATTTATATAATGAAATCACAGCCTTCGTGACTCGAAAATCGCATTAAGCCATACGGCGATTTCGGTTTTATTTTTATTAATCATTTAGCCCTTGGAGAAACGCATCCTTCTTGGCTAAAACCTTTGGAAAACCACAATAAAAGAAGCATGTTGTGTGTTTGTTTTTGTGACCAGGGTCAGTTTGGCGTTCAGGAAGAGGATTTACAGAAGAGTCTGATCTGCACCACGTCAGTGACGCGAGGAGAGGCCATCCAGCGACTCCACAACCAGCAGCAGGCTGAAGGTACCACATCATCAGTGTGACATCACTGGTGTGTTTGACACTTTTCATATTGATCAGCATCTGTTTTAAATGATCTTTTCAGATGCCAGAGATTCCATCGCTAAAGTGGCCTACGGTCGCGTCTTCGGATGGATCGTCAGTAAAATCAACGAGCAGCTTGCTCCTAAAGTAGATTTCGACGTGGAGCTTAATGAAATAGGTAAATATACCAGTTCATGCTGTGACTTGTGTTTCACTTTGCACTTTTTGCAACTAAAAAAATTGTAGTGTGTAGTCTGTACTGAATCCAGTGCGGTCAGCCGCCGCCTTAATCGGTTTCCATATTCCCTTGGCTATAGAATTTTTTTTTTTGTGTCAATTTAGAGCGCAATAATTTATTACCTAAGATATGTGACATTGAGGTTTACTCTTTCTATATTTACAGGAATCCTTGACATCTTTGGTTTCGAGAACTTCGCTGTGAACCGATTTGAGCAGATCTGCATCAATCTAGCTAACGAACAGCTCCAGTACTTCTTCAACCATGTAAGTCCTTCATAGTGCTTTATTATGAGTTTCATATTTATAAAGGGAAGCCTATTTCATGAAACAAAAAATATGACATGGTTTGGCAAGTGCACATGCTGACATGTTTACAACTCAAGTTTGATTTGAAGTCTCATCTTGGACTTTCTTTGTCAGTAAAATGGCAACAAAAAAAATACAAATTAATAAAACGTGGTCATTTTAACTTTACACTCATGTGTCACATAATAATCTTGAAGATATATCTGTGGAAAACTCAAGGCAGCAGATGTTAGGAACCATTAAATGCCACATTCGATCATGGTCACTGCAGATTCTTTCAATAGGACTTAATTTGCCACTCCATGAATCCGATGATCACATTTTCCATGTCATTTCCCTCTAGCACATTTTTTTGATGGAACAGAAAGAATATAAAGAGGAAGGCATCACATGGGAGACCATAACCTACAAGGACAACAAGCCCATACTGGTAGGTTTACATCCAAAACCTTCACCCTCTGTGATTGCCCTGCGCTCTCTCCAACTTTTTCCCCCATTTTTCCTTCTCTCTGACTCCAAAAATACACCCGAGCTCTGCGTTTGGCTGACGGCCGTGTGGTAAATCCCAAACACAGGAAGTGCTGACAGAGCAGGACACGTAGCTTAGAGAATCTCTCCAATTTCTGCATGCATTCTGACCCAAATCCTTTAGCATCCTGAATTGGAAACTAAAGGAAACTGTGGTCTTTGCTTAAAGCTTGTTTTCACCTCGTCCTCGCGTGAGATTCCTGGGCCGATCTGCACTGTAAATATGAACTCTGCCCTGTAATTATGGGAACTCAGTAGCCGCCTGTTTTGAAAGCTGCAGACTTGCATGTATGTCACATTCATGTGGTATTCAACCTACAACTCTCAAACACTGCGTATCCTGCTGTGTAACATTATTCTACAGCGCCGTCAGCTAGAAAAGCCTGTTTAGCTTGTCAGCATGGAAAACTCATTCACTCATGCCAGGTTTATTCCCGTTTCAGGACCTGTTCCTCACGAAACCCATTGGGATTCTCTCTCTGCTGGATGAGCAAAGTGCCTTTCCTCAGGTATGTGTTGCCAACTGAAACCTGAGACGCAAAGAGAAAACATCTTGCCAAATCCTCCATTGAACCCCATTAAAAATATTTTCATCCAATGCTTTTATCCAAAGCATCTGCTTTGGACATACTTGTATACCTAAGTGTGTAGTAATTTAAATCAGTTAATTTAAGTATTGCAATCTCTTTAAAATTATATATAAAGAAAAATATAACGAAAAAAATATATTCACTTTTTATTTTTTTTTATTTTTTTTATTAGTATATATGCTTTTTTTTATTTTTTATTTTTACAAACCTCACCCATTTTATGCTAATTTTCATTCCATCCCCATTTAATATATCTGTACGGTGGAGACATTTTACTCGGATAACATTCACTCTTCCATATACGTTAATTTCAGTCATGTGACTGCATTTGAGAGACTAGTGAATCTCAAGCATAGCAGTTAATTACACAATGTTCATGTGCATGTGACCGTTGTTGCACCCACAGGCCACTGACCGAGATTTTGTTGACAAGTTAAACAGCAAATTTAAAGCGGATCCCAACTTTGAGGTTGTGCGAAACCACACCCCTCTGTTCACTATTGTGCACTACGCTGGGAAGGTGAGTTCAAACCACCGTCATCATCATTACCTAACAAGTCACCTGATCAGTGACCCCATTTAGATGCCAACAAAGAATGTAATCTGTATTGTAGTGCTGGTTAATAATTAATTGATTGTGTGCAATTTTTCCTAGAGCAGATGGATTAATAAGGGTGTTTGTCTTCATAATGTGTCCATTTATTCCTGCATGAAATGTCTTTTTGTGGTCTGTTAAGGTGCAATACAACGCAAGCGGTTTCCTTGAGAAAAACCGGGACACAATACCAGCCAACATTCGTGAGCTCTTCATCAACAGCGTCACTCCTCTCCTCAGTGTTTTGTTCGCAGGTCTGAATTGGCACATCTATATTATAACGGCAATAAACAAACACACACACACACACACACACACACACACACACAGAGAGATAGATATACACAAAACATAAGTGAATAAATTAATTTAGATGCATTTACATACATTGATTCATTTATATATACCTGTACATATATGTATTTATTAGTGTGTGTGTGTGTATGAATTTATATATACATATATATATTTATTTGTGTGTGTGTGTATTCATTTATTGGAGTTCTAATAAATAAATATATTTATTGAAGTATCCTATATATATTAATTATAATTATGCTTTAATTTTTACTACATTCAATATAATTTAAACCGTTTTTTAAAAGTATTTATTTTATTTTATTATTATGGCTATTATTATATTTTAGATGTTCACAGATGATTAGATACTAAAACCAGAAATAACAAACAAAAGCATTTAGTTGTGAGTTTCAGTTTTGAACACACACAGATATATATATATATGTATATATATATATATATATATATATATATATATATATATATATATATATATATATATATATATATATATATATTTCTGTGTGTATACACATACAGTATATACATATACACATACACATACATTGGGAGATGATCTTATAGAAAGTACCCCATGCCAATCTGTAGGTATAATGAAGGGTATGTGATGATGTGGGACTATTTTAATTCCAAAGGCCAAGGGAACTTTATCAGGATGCATATTATCCTGGATCCATGAAACAACTGGCCTTTAAAAATATAAATCTGTCTGCCTCTATGGGAATTTAACCCATAGACTTACGCCCCCTGTATTTTAAGGAAGAACATTTATTAATTTACGATACATTATTCATTCACAAAGAAAATTGGTGTCCTTAAAGGTTGGATTTTTTCTCATTTTTTTAATTAATCAATTTCCAAAATATTTTTTTATTCCTCTTTTTAGTCAACTTTAGCATGGGTGTGTTCACTTATGCTAAGTGCTGTACACACACATACACATACATATATACATCATAACTATTGTTGTGTTTTTTAATTTATTATTTAATCTTTTTTTCCCTCTTTTTTTTCAGCTACAATTTCTCGAACAGGCACACTGATGCCAAGGAAAGCCAAGGTATAACTAAGATTTTGACTTCATTTTTGACATACCAGTTCCTTTTTTCGAGTGCCTGTTAAAGGTGCTCTACGTAACTTTTAGCGGCCTCTAGTGGTGATGTTTCAGATTGCAACCAAATTTTACAAGAGCGCTCGTGCTCAAACTCTTAGACAATACCGTCTATTACGCGAATATCTCGGCGAATACTAGACGGATTCGGCGAGCACCGAGCTCGTTGGGACCATCTAGTCGAGCTGAAAAGAACCATATAAGTTCCATAGTTTTTGGTGGTGTTTTCGCGGAGATATTAGCAGAAAACCATCGGGCGCGCTGCAAAATTGCGGACGCCGGTGACGTCACGATCTCAGAAGAAAATCACTCGTATCTCTGGAACGCAAAGACCCAGAGAGCTCAAATTCGGGGGAGGAGGTCCCAGGGGAACCCTTGCCCGAACGCTAGAGTGGCGGGCCTCGGGGATGCCCCCTACCGGATCGCCGTTCGCTGGGACCCCCGATTTCGAACGGCTATAACTCGGGGAGCCGGGCGAGTTGGACCTCGGGGGTGGGCTCGTTCGAAAGGCCCCGTCCAGCACTACGAATGATTAGAGTCTTGGGAATATTGATCAAAGATTGACTGAGATATAAGCCGAAAAACGTGCGCCTTTAACCGGACGTAACTCCCTGACCGTCTACAATAGACTGTATATAAGGAGAGAGGCTCGGGAGCGCGCATGCACGTCACATCCGTTGGATTTCGCGGTAAATCCGACCCGGAGACATCACATAGAAATAGGAATACTGGCCTTCAGAGGTGATAGCAAAACCCGACAAGTGGATCATTGTAATGTGTGATTACAACCCCTTCACACACAGGCAATAAAAAAAGGATTCATTTTAGAAGAAAAGTTCCATATAGCACCTTTAAAACAGGTTGTGGTATTTCCCAAATACCTTTAAAGGCTGTATTTTCAGAAAATATATAGCTGTACAAATGACAAATTAGTCTTACCTTTGAGATGAGTGATAATGAATGCTGCATGTAGTGTTTCACCACATGACCCTGTGTGTACCAATTTTAGTTACAAGTTGCAGGTGACAACTTCAACTCAACCAGGAAGCAGTCTGTTGGTGCGCAATTCAAGGTAAATTATGCTTACAAATAATCATAGTGCATGTTTTATTTGCCGGTTTATTAGATGTATCTTATAATCAAATGTATGTAAATGCATCTGCATGCGTCTGTGCTTGAATATGCACATCTATTATTATTTTTTTTATATATCAGAAATATTATATTATATGGATGAATTTCTTAAAACACTGTCAAGAAGTTAATATTTCACCCCATATTGAAGTGAAGCCTAATTTCTGGTCCATTTAGGATTTTTGCATTGTGATTGTCATAATTAGGCACTGACATTCACTCATGCATTTGACCCTGCCTATGTTTATTTACCTGTCTTTGCATTGTTTGGAAACTAAAAGCGTTTGTTCCGTACAGCATTCCCTGGCTGTCCTTATGGAGAAGATGTTTGCCGCCAGTCCACACTTTGTTCGGTGCATCAAACCCAACCGAAGCAAACAGCCTGATCAACTAGACAGTAAACTGGTGATGGATCAGGTATGTTACCACAGGTCAGGTAGCTTCACAATCATCTCCGCTGGGTTCGGCCCCGTTTGTGGCCCCTTTTATTTTCCATATTGGAGCCAAATACATTCTCAGTTTTTCCTGCCCTCCAGTTCTCTGAGGTGTACTTAAAACCTGGAAGCCTTTTAGTGCTGTTATTTGAGTTAAATCCAAAATCCCTCTAATGATAGAGGAGCCACTGGGTTTGTGTGTAAGGGCCAATATGGACTGAACACTGTTTTAAGACATTGTCTTGTTTGAACTAGACAGTCACTGAGCAGCTTCATGACACAGTGACTATAAGCTCTGTACTGTGTAGATACTAGTTAAAAGTAGAAAATATAAGTGGTGTCTGCCTGTGTAAAATTTGCCACCACTCTACTAGGGTTATTCTTACTCATTGCTAGGTTGTTTTGAGTACTTGGTTATAGTAGTAGCAAGTAAACACCAACATTTTTTGTTCTGTTCTCAAAGAACCATCCTGTTCAAATGACATAATTTGTCTCGATATGCATAAACTGGAAATTCCAAGGCTGTAAATCATCTGACCATGTGTGTGACTTAATAGCAGTGTCATTCAGTGCATGTGCAGTACCTTTTAAACTACATGACTGTGCAACACTGGCACCTGCTGTAGAAGTGTGGAAGTGTAGTTTGCAGCCTAAAATAAGAAAAATCAGCCTGATGTAAATATCAATATAATAAATTGTTTTACACACTCACACACGTGTTTTCCTCATCATGGGGATCAAAAAACTTCCCATCAAGGACAAGGATTTCGGATATTGCCATCTTTGGCATATAATGTTATTAAAAAAAATTTATAAAATAATTGTTTATGTATAATATTATATGTAATAATGTAATATTTAAATACATTTACTTGTACAATGAAAGTAAAGAGCTAATCATGTTTTACTTTCCCAGCCTGTCATTCCAAATCTGTATGCTGCCTTTCTTCCTATAAAATACAAAAGAACATTTTTGAAAGAATATTCATTTTGCAGTATTGCTCACAAGTTGGATAAACTGCATTTGTTACTTTTTAGTTTGATGGTAAAAATCTAATTTTGTTGTATGCAAAATGAAGCTTTCGTTCAAGAGACTTTTTTTGTGTTCATGGAAAAATTTTAATTTCACTATGTTTGGAACGGAATAAGAATGAGTGAATAATTAATACATTTTTAGATGAACTATCCCTTTTAAAGTGACCTAATGGGACCTTTCAGAATCTCAATTGTCCCATCCATCATATTGATGTTCTTATTTTCTGCCTCCTCCTCTCTAGCTGAGATACAACGGTCTAATGGAAACAATCCGAATCCGGCGGGACGGTTTCTCATGGCGTCCAACTTTCAAGGAGTTTGCAGAGAGGTTTGTGTGCTGGCAGGAAAAATGACATTTTATCAGTTCATTACATCAGATTACCTGCAGTATGACTCAGATTTCTGTCCCGTAGGTACAACATTCTGCTGCTGAAACCGGATCTCCCGTCGGACAAGAGCAGGTTTGAGCAGCAGATACATCATATTGTGTTAAAGGTGCACCAAGTAATAAATTTAACAGGTTTTCAACCTAAAGAAGAGTATAGTACATTTGACAAATGTTTACATAATGTTAACTCGCATGAGAGAAATAAGCTCCCTATTATCAGCTGCTTTTGCTTGCATACAACAAAAAAGTATGTAAATATTGCCATAAAACATTATAGCTTAGTATAAAGTTCAAGACCAGCAGATTTCCATTACACGAGAGTAGATGTTAAAACTTCATGCTGATTTGCACTCGGCTTTCGCCAAGATAAGCACCAACTAAAACAGTAACCTTTGCCTCTCCATCCATTTACGTGTTCATCCATATGGTGATGTGAATATCTTTCTGTCTGGTGTTAATGACTGAAGTATATTTTCTGGCGCGTCAGCACACACAACGGCTGCAATGCTGGCTCCGGGGATCAACCACAGTTCGGTCTCCCCAGCGGATCAGCATGACAACCGTCTGGGTTGAGCCGAGTAGGGGACATCTCTGGGGTCTTCAAGTGGGCACCATCCGTCCTCAGTGTGTCGTCGACTAGCCCGAGACACCTCAAGAGGGCTCGACAGTGGCGTCCCAGAGTCACCCCCCTCCGTCCCCCACTCAACTCAGCCCAGCTTACTGACCTGTACATCAGCGTTTCTTTCTTTCTATTGTGCTTGAGATCCCTCCTGCTGCTGAGGCTGCTCCTTCCTCGTAGTTCAGTGGCATAAACCCTTGATGTGACCTAACCACAATCTCCTAACCACAATCTCTAACGCCACAATCTCACCGCAACCCGACCATACGCACCAACCCGTTTGACTAAGGCTGCTGAAGCCCCGCTGTCGTCGTTAAAGCATGTTCAGTGGTAAGGGTTCTGTATGGCCTTCTACCTACCCCAAAACACAACAATATCTGTCCAACAAAAATCCTCATTCACAAAAAATACAGTACACGGGATTGTAATAACTATGCAAACTATACAAATAATCCAACAAGACTCTTCAAGTTTTTCAAGAATTACGAAACCGTAGCGTGGTGGCCTGTACACAGCCAGCCAGAATCTTTCCGTCTCACCCACAGCCAGTTGCTGCTCCTCTCTGCTGCTTCAGATAAGTTCTTTACTGTGCGACGCAACTCTTGGCCACTGAATCCGACGTCTCTGAGAAACCGGGTTGTAGAGTGTGCCACAAATCCTCGACAACCCACTTCCACTGGATAAACCCGGACTCTCCATCCTCACATTTCAGTGGCCAGATGAGCATACCGCAGTTTCTTCCTCTAATATGCCTCATCTACCGCATCCTCCCATGGCACATCAGGTGAACAAGGCGTGCTGATCCAGACCACAAAACAATATCTGGTCGGAGGTTAGTGGTGGCAATGTCAGGTGGAAAAATAAGCCGTTGATCAAGATCAGCCAGCATTTTCCAGTCCCTAGCAGCTTCCAGTTGTCCTGTGCGAGAATTGGTTTTAACACCTTTTCTTGGTGGTTGCTCTCCTGGGCAGAGGAATATTGTCTTCTGTGTGTAATGTTTTGCTAGAAGAGGTTGCAACTTGTTGGTCATGTTACGTCTTCCAATGCTAAAGCCAAACACCGCAGTACCTTGCATCCTGTCAAAATGTGCCTTTGTGGCAGGTGATGAACCCAAAGGACAAGAGGGATCCTCTCCTACCCAGAGGTTCTCTCCTACCCTGCGGTGATGGGAGAGCATCATATGTTGACCTGATAAGAAAACTGATCCTACTCTCTTCCATTGACCAAAGGTCTTGCCAGCCCATCTTGCGTTGTTCCACACTCTTCCATCTCATCCATTCTCCCTGCTTGGCCTGGGAAATGGCCTTTATACACCTCATACTCTCCTCCTGCTTTCGCACCTCGTTGACTACCAGCTTCCTCCTTTGAGCTGGGCCTGCCTTGTGCCATTTAGGAGGAGCTAAACTAAGCCCAAAACCCCCTCTTCCATGCTGTACCTGTCCCACAATATCACCAATTTGAAGGGCAGCCTTTGCCTCTACCACAGCTTTCTTTGCTGACCACTTTCTACCAGTTTTTAACACAGGTGCTGCCTCCTTTACACATTTGTCGCGTGACTCTACTAATGTAATTTCCAGTCTGACCTTGGCACACTTAAACTCCTCGGTTAAAGCAGAGACTGGCAGCTGCAATACTCCTTTACTATAAAGTCCCACTCTGCTGAGGCAGCGTGGAACTCCCAACCATTTCCTGATGTATGAACTTATCAACGCTTCCAGCTTATCCACTGTTGTCAAAGAAACGTCGTACACGGTCAGTGGCCACAGCAACCTCGGCAGTAGACCAAACTGAAAGCACCAGAGTTTTAGTTTGCCAGGTAGAGCACAGCTGTTTATGCTCTTCAACCCTTCCACTGCTTGTCGTCTAACTTCTCCCACTCGAACTGTGTCCTTTAGATCCCCATCGTACCATCTCCCAAGACTCTTCACTGGCTTCTCAGACACTATTGGTATTGCCTCACCATTAATGAAGAATGTTTTATCTACTACTTTGCCTTTTAATTATCGAGATGCTCCTTGATTTAGAGGGCTTAAATTGCATTCGTGCCCATTCGATGTTATCGGTTAATTACGGTACCCAATAACCGATTAGTGCAGGCTACTGTTGTAGTCATGGTTGTCATGTCATCCATGTATGCTCTGATTGGTGGTAGTCGCATCCCAGAAGCCAAGCCCTCTCCTCCTACTACCCATCTTGATGCCCTCATGATTACTTCCATCGCCATGGTAAAAGCCATTAGAGAAATGGTGCATCCTGCCATTATTCCAACCTCTAGGCATTGCCATGCAGTGCTGAATTTTGGAGTTGAGAAACTGAATTGCAAATCTCCAAAGTAGGCTTTCACTAAATTTGTTATGGTCATCATCACTCTGAAAAAATCAAATGCTGCCCAAAGAAGCTCATGTGGCACTGAACCATATGCATTAGCCAAATCCAGGAATGTCACATGGAGCTCCTTCCTCTCCTTTTTAGCTGGTTGAATTTGTTGCCAGATCACATTGATGTGTTCTAAGCATCCTGAGAACCCTGGAATACCCGCTTTTTGTATTGAAGTGTCAATGAAGCAGTTCTTTAATAGGTAGGTTGACATTCTCTGAGCAATAACGCTGAAGAAAATCTTGCCTTCAACGTTTAATAGTGAAATGGCACGAAACTGACTGATGCTTGTAGCATCTTTTTCTTTAGGGAAAAAGACTCCACCTGCTCGACGCCATGCTCTAGGCACAACCTGTTTTTCCCATGCCACTTTCATCAATTTCCACAGAATTCGCAGAACTCCTGAAGCACTCTTGTACACTTTCTACGGCCACTCCACCTCTTTCCACTTAGGTGCACAGTCCTCCATTTGGTATTCTGCTGGATTGATAGGTGGGATATCTGACGGAATTGACATAGGCTCATGCCTTTTTGCATCTGTATGTGTTTCCTCCAAATATCTCTCCAGCTCAACCTTAGATGCTTTTAATGTGCCATTCTTCTCACTGGTGAATAACTTATTTACGAATTTGAATGGGTCTTTATAGAAATTAGCTCTCGCACGCTCCTTCTTTTTGTAGCGTTTCCGTAGGCGCTCAGCTCTGTGCAATGTTGCGAGCTTATCTTTTATGGCTCTTTGTAAGAGATTGAGTCCCTCCTTCTGACTTTGTTCTGCTCTTCTACATTGCTTCCTCAGCTGTCTCCTTTCTCTAATAAGAAATTAGTTTAAGTTGAATTTATTTGCACAGTATATATTTTGCTATATATATATATATATATATATATATATATATATATATATATATATATATATATATATATATATATATATATATATAAATAAAGTATACAATGAAAAAATAAATAAAATGCCATTCTTATTACAGTGCACGAAGAGGTGTAAAATCTATAATAAAATCTATAATGGAAAATCTAAAATAAATAACATAAAATGACTTTGTGCTCCTTTTAAATGAGCTCTTCATGATGATAAATACTGATAATGATTATTTGGTTTCATCTACAATGGTTCTCGTTTTCTTTTTTTGCTTTTAGTTGTATGTCGATCCTCAACAGCACTGAACTCTCTGGTTGGAAGTGTGGGTAAGTTTGAGCCTAATGCAACCTGTCTAAATGAAGTAAATGCAATTATAAGCATTATTAGTGGCATTTAAGACATGCATCACTATTATTATTGTTCATTTGTACAGTTAGTGATTTAAACAAACCCCCTAATCACTCACATTTCCTTCAGAAAATGTTAAAATAATTTTTTGTTTTGATGGTCCTGTCAGGATTTTAGGTTTGTAAAATCTTTCACAGGCTCTAACATGTTTTCATTTTGGCTTGATATTGTACGAGCCAATAAATTAGATACTTAAATGGTTCAGATAATATCTAACAAGTCACAGCAGTTCTCCTGTGTTGCTCTTTCAGATCGTCGCGTTTGTTTTTCAAGTACTGGCACCAGGAGGAGTTGGCCCGTCTGCTGGAGAGACTGGGACGAGCGGCGGTTGTCATTCAGAAGAGTGAGTAGCAATTAAACTAGTTTAAGCCTCTGTATAATTATGGAGGAACTCACATGAAACCTTTGGCTCCTAGTTTGACTTCTTTATTGCAACCTAAATCACCTCTCAGATAATTATACTAATGAAACGGTGTCATGAGCGCAAGTTCAGACATGAACTGCAAGATTCAGATGTGAACTGCGAGATGTGAACTTTTTATTTATTTTTATATTTTTTTCACTTAAAAAAAGGTTTCTTGCATCAAAAGTCATAAAACTGCTGTGACTATTATTCATTGTATTATTTTCCATCATCTGATTTATATTTGGAGTTGTACAGGCTGTTTTCAGTATTCAGGCCATCCTGACAAAGTCTTGATATGCAAACATGGGTGGTCATACACTTCTGGTCAAACGTTTGCAATCATTACGATTTTTAAAATGTTTTTGAAAGAAGTCTCTTCTGCTCACCAAGGCTGCATTTATTTGATCAAAATACAGTTAAAACAGTAATTTTGTGAAATGTTATTAAATAATTTAAAATAACTGCATTATATTTATATTTTTATAAGAAATACAGTTAAAACCGTAATATTGTGAAATAGTATTAAATAATTTAAAATGACAGCATTATGTTTATATTTTCTCCCTTTGCATCAAAGGTTACTACTTACAATGTGCTTTTGCAGCGTTGCGCATTGTAGCCAATCACAGACAAGTCAGTTGAACAGAACGGCCAATCAGATGCGTTTAAATGAGTCGCTGCACCTAAAATGTTTACCGCAAGCTCACCGAGTTCTACACTTTTGAAATTCTGTCGTTATAGCTATTAAAGCTGCAGTCGGCAAGTCTGGCAGATTGAGTGGATTTAGGCAAAATTTGAATGTTTACAACTCTCATGCCCCTCCCCCACTATCAACGAATACCCTCCCACCGAGTTCGTGCTCGTCAGTGCGTGTGCACCAGGTTATCTGTGAACGTGCCCGTCTCATCAGCATCCATCAACACCATGGAGTATTTGGAGGTATGCTGCCCTGGCTAATCTACCGATAGATTGCAATTGCTAACGTCATTTATACTCTAAATAAGCTTACTTGATTTGTTAGTGTTTTGAAAGCGAGATACATCCGCCATCACTCTTCGTTACTGCGCGAACTTCAGGCGTGTGCATGTGATTGTAACGTGCGCGAGGGGTGGCGTGTGCCCGATCTGTGATTGACAGTCAGATCTCACACCCCCCTGCGCTGATTGGACCCGATGATCTGGGAGCTGTGGATTTTTCCAAAACAAATAACACACTCCAGGTGGAGTTAGAAGCTCAGGTTTTTTTCTAAAACCACTTTATTTATGTTGTTCTGTCGGATTATAGTGTCGATTTCACTGAATATGATCAAAAAAAATTTGCCGATGGCAGCTTTAAACTTGTTTCAAATAAGAGGTTCACTGCAATGTAGTCAGTTTTCGTGAGAATGCAGAACCGGTGGGCTCACGATGAAATGATTGTCAGTTTCATATTATATACATCTATAGCTTTCTGAATATAGTCTATTCACAGTATGAATAAAGGCATTATTTTTCATGCTGCTAAGAAGACTAGTGCTCACATACACTGCAAATTTTCAGGAGTTTAGTTTTCATTTAAATGCTGCAGTAAATCCACTAATTTATTGTTCTATGTCTTTGACAGACATAATAAGCAGCTAATATCTGCAGTTTAACACACATAAGCTCTTTTCTTCTCTTTTATTAAGACTATTATATAAGCCATTTTTACTTTTACTATGAATTTAGACTAATTTAAAAAGCCTAATAAAGTTAAAAATGTTGGTTGGCGAATTATTATCATTTTATTATAATAACGGTCACATGTATAGCTCAACACTGAAGTGACTTCAGCTGAAAAATGACACTTTTTTTCATTGAATCATTTTCCTGTTTTCACTGTAATGGTCCTTGCACACTGAGTCCGAAATTTTCGTATGCGTTTTTCGGTGGCTCTGAATTGTCAAAACACCATTCAAAATGCTTGCTACGGATGTGAACATTTTATTTCGGACGAAAGTTTCGGAGGCAGTGTGTAAACGTGATTGACAAAACATGAGGTCGTATTTATTTTTTAACGCATGAAAATTTCGGCCGCGAATTTCGGACTCAGTGTGCAAGGACCTTTAAGCTGCTTTGAAACAATCAGTATTGTATAAAGCGCTATATAAATAAAGGTGACTTGACTTGTTTATAGCTACTTGTAAAGGCTGCAGGGACAAACTTAGGAGGACATTTTTTTTCTTTTCTTTTTTTCTTGACGTGATATTTTCAAGGCTAATATTCCAGTATTAAAGGGATAGTTCACCCCAAAATGAAAACTCTGTCAGTAATTACTCTCCCTCATGTTGTTCAACCCCGTAAGACTTTCGTTCATCTTCGGAACACAAATTAAGATATTTTTGATTAAATCTGAGAGCTGGATCACTCCTCCATAGGCTTCTTAAGGGATCAAAACTGGCCGGCCAGCTTCTAGGTTGTACGTCACACGCATCACACGCATGACCAGCGTCGGCCAATAGTGAGCCGTGCAACCTAGCTTTGCGCAGTTTCACTACGTGAACTCACTCGAGGCCCACAGGGAAGGAAATGAATAGTTGAATAAAGTCGTTATTTTTGTTTGTTTTTTTTGCGCACAGAAAGTATTCTCGTCGCTTGATAAACTTAAGGTTGAGCCACTGTCGTCACTCGGACTATTTTAACGATGTCTTTCATAACTTTTGGGCCGGCCAGTTTTGATCCCTTAAGAAGCCTATGGAGGAGTGATCCAGCTCTCAGATTTAATCAAAAATATCTTAATTTGTGTTCCGAAGATGAACGAAAGTCTTACGGGGTTGAACAACATGAGGGAGAGTAATTACTGACAGAATTTTCATTTTGGGGTGAACTAACCCTTTAAGTCAAAGAATGGCTTCATTTGCATCCAAAGAAGTCTGGGCTAAAGCCCTGAATATCCACTGACCCTAGAACTGCTCCTGACTACATCACATCTTGTTCTTTAGATTTCCGGATGAGGATCTGCAGAAGGAAGTATCTGGCATTGCTAGCAGAGCTACGGAGGCAGCGTCAGGCTCAGCGGGAGAGAGAGGAGCGCGAGGAGGAGGAGAGGAGACGACAGCAGCTGGAGGACGAGAGGAAAAGACGTCTGCAAGTGGAACAGGAGAACCTGCGTAAGGACTGTTTTCACAGCCGCTTCAGTGTGAAGTGTGTTAAAGGGATAGTTTAACCAAAAATGAAAATTAGCCCATGATTTACTCACCCTGAAGCCATCCTAGGTGTATATGACATTCTTCTTTCAGACGAATACAATCGAAGTTATAATAAATAATATCCTGGCTCTTCCAAGTTTTATAACGGCAGTGGATTGGAACCAACAGATTGAAGCTCAAAAACGTGCATCCATCCATCATAAACGAACTTCACACGCCACACTACTTCTGACGTCATATGTTGCGCTTAAGGCGCAAGTAGACTGTGTTTGGCCGGAAGCTAGAATTTTATTTTGTAACGTATTAAATATGAATATTTTTCTTACACAAACTTATTGTTTTGCTTCAGAAGTCCTTTATTAACCGCCTGGAGCCGTGTGAAGTTCGTTTATGACGGATGGATGCATGTTTTTGAGCTTCAATCTGTTGGTTTGCAATCCACTGCCGTTATAAAACTTGGAAGAGCCAGGATTTTTTTTATAATATAATCGTTATATATATATATATATATATATATATATATATATATATATATAAATATATATATTTAGTAGTCAACCAAAGAAATCCTTAGTCGACCAAAGTCCTGTCCTGTGCAACGATCAGTCGACAAAAAAAAAAGAAACTATGTTTTGCATTTTGATTGAACATTTATTGAACAATTGTCATAGAGCATTTATAAAACAACAACGAAAAAACATCAATAATGCATAAAACTATAATAATAATACAATTCTTTAAAAATTAAGTGATTTTTTTTAACTGCAAAGTGAGGAGCTCTGTCCTAGGTCTATAGTAACAGTCACAATCGCGCACCTGACCACACCACACGCTACAAAAAATATAACCGCTAAAACTGCTAAATAATGCAAAATCCTAATAAAAGCTCTCGTTTATACAGGCTGTATATTCTTCTTTACTTTCAAAGCTATTGTCCAGCCGATCTAGGCGTTAAAACAAACACACAAAAAACCCAAAATAGCCTAAAAAACAATCCTAATAATAATAGGCTGTATAGTAGGAAGGCATATAGGTTTATTTTCATTTTGTTACATTGTTTAGGCTATTTTCAACGCGTCTATTTTTTTTTTTTGTACAAAATAAAAACAACATAAGAAAGCACAATCTATTGAGTCAGCATAATAAAGCCGTTAAAGGGCCTGCTCACATATCCCGTCTTTTGCGCGTTCAAGTTCGTTATTTCAAATGTATGCGCGCTCATAATGGAAGCGGCGTGCTCGTTTTTTCCAAGCGGTCCGCGCCGCAGCAGCAGCAGTGCAGCCAGCCACAGGTGCGGTTCCCGAGTGCTCTACGTGGTGCGCTAAACTGTGGTGCTGTTACAAAATAGCCTAAATTGCAGCATTTAAAGTTGGGGATAAAACATAGGCTAATTATATTTAGAATACAGTAATATATAACTGCTTATAAATTAATAAATATCAAGGAGTAAATCAATGAAAATGTCTTTCTATTGGTAAAAAAAAAAGAAAAAAAAATGCAACTGGTCGACTAATGAGAATGTCAGTCGACCAAGACGGCATCGACCGATTAGTCGACTAAACGACTAAAGTTGACAGCCCTAATATATATATATATATATATATATATATATATATATATATATATATATAATATATCGTCTGAAAGAAGAAAGTAATATACACCTAGGATGGCTTGAGGGTGGGTAAATAATGGGGTAATTTTCCTTTTCATTAATTTTAATCCTTTAAGTTCGTGTCTGTGTGTGTTTGCAGGACCAGCGTCTCCACCGGTACCCTTGCCGAGAAAGAAAAGGCCTGAGCCCAGGCCTCGCTCTGTGCTGACTGGCGTCCTGAAAGCTCCACATCTGCCTCCTGTACCGCGGCCGCGCAGCAAGCTTTTTGAGGTGTGACATCCATAACTTATTCAGTGAAATTCTGCACCTCGATTAATGAGATTACCTCTTTAACCTACCAGCTTAAAGATTATTTAAGTCACATCTCTAGTCTGTGTTAGAGCTTGAACATGTTACACTCCCCCTATTTGAAGTTTGAAGTTGACTTGAAACCAAAATTGACTTTAAAACATGTTTCTCGCATGTTAATACCATGTAGAATGCCATATTACAAAACTAAGATGAATTGCAAATGCCATTTCTTCTATACTTTATGCATTATTTTAATTTCATTGATATATTATATTGAATTAGCTTTTATTTTTATATTTTCAGATCATTTTAATTTTAGTTAAAGTTTTAGTATGTTTGTTTTGTACGGAGCCTCATACCCTCATATGACGTGTGGACAAAAATATATATATATCATGGCCATGATTTACTAATTCGTTCCCTCGTTTCACTAAATTGTGTGCACAATATAATAATTAGTTTCCCTCGATCTAGTAAATTGTGGCCCATTTTACTTATTCATTCCCTCGTTTCACTAAATTGTGTGCATGATATAATCATTTGTTCCCTCGTTTCACTAAAATGTGCACATGAGATAATTCATATTGTGCGCACAATATAGGGAACCAAGGTAATAATTTGTTCCCTCGTTTCACTAAATTGTGCACTTGATATAATAATTCTTTCCATCGTTTCACTAAATTGTTCACACGATATAATCATTTGTTCCATCGTTTCAATAAATTGTGCACAATACAATAATTAGTTTCCCTCGATTTAGTAAATTGTGGCCACATGGTAGTAATTCGTTCCCTTGTTTCACTAAATTGTGCTCGTGATATAATAATTTGTTCCCGAGTCGTTTCACTAAACTTGTGTGCACAATATTATAATTATTTTCCTCGATTTAGTAAATTGTGGCCACGTTGTACTAATTCGTTCCCTCGTTTCGATTGAACTAAAACAATGGAACAAATTATTATATTGTACTCACTATTAACTTAAAACGAGGAAACAAATTTGTAAAATGTACGTAATTTCGTGAAAAATTAGTAAGTTGTGGGAGCGAATTAATTTGTGGGGCTCCATAGTTTTGTATTTTGTCATTTTTGTTTATATATATATATATGTAGTTTTTTTTTGTTTTAGTTTAGTAAAGCTATTTTAGTTAAAGTTAAACTAAATGTTGGTTTTAGTTAACGGTAATAACCCTGACTTTATGTGTCATACTCATTTTTCTGGACAGGCGACTCCGTTTGATAACGAGCTGAATGAGAACGTCCACCTGGACGCTTCTCTGATGCTTCAGCCGATAGATGAAGAGCGTATTAAAGAGAAACACCTGAAAAAGAGTAACACCATCCGCTGGTTTAAAGAGACGCAGGTCCGTAAGCTGACCAGAGACGGTACCTTCCCCAGCTGGTTCCATGGCATGATCACACGCAGGTTAGCTTTGATGAACTATCGATTAGTCCAATCAATTCTCTATTGTAGTGAACATGGGAATATATTATTATGTGCTGACTGTAACTTTGGTTTCTCAGACAAGCAGAAGATCTCCTGATCAACAAACCTCTCGGCTGCTTCTTGGTGCGTGTCGGTGAAAGCCGGGAGGGTTACACTCTGACCTTTAGGTACATGCTACTTTATGCTATGGCAAAACTAGTCTCAGCCTCAGACGTCACGCCCACAGAACGTTGGCTAAACGTCTGATGCATATGGTACACTTAACTGGAAACACTTCAGGAATGTCGAAGTCGTCATCTGATTGGTTGAATTTGATCGGATTTCCGGGGGGCACGAGTGTCGCGTTTATTTTCGGTCCGCCGGGAAACAAAGCGCAGACGTGTGATTGCGGAAGAAAAACTGTTGTGTTTACATGAGTGACAATGAGCATTTATCAAGATCAGCTAAACGTAGGATTCTCAAAAGTATGCGAGGTTCACGGCATAGACTCTTGAAGTTCTCTTCTCCTTCTTTGATTTTCTATGCTGACTGACTTGTTGCACGCTGGTCTGTTGTTGTGGGGACATTTCCACGCCCCGAAACGTGACGCTGAACGAAACGAACTGTAATTGGTTGTTTGACATGTCGGTCAAACGGCCTTATGGGCGGGCCTTGGCCAAAGAAAGCTGCTATGAATTCCAGACCTTCAGCTGTCAGTCTGAAGGTCTGGCTACGCGAGACTATGGCAAAACTAAATTATATATGTCAAAATCAACATGCTAGTCAATCACTAAAGGTGCTTTTATTGTGTTAACCCTTACATTGTGTTCTGGTCATTTTGACCCAGAGAGGATTGTTTTTGTCTGAAAATGCTATTTTTAATGTAATCAAATTGGACTAAAACGTACTGACTTTGCTCACACAGGGTATAACAACTTACCATAAAAAAATAAAACAAGTAAATAATAATAATTAAAAAATAATAATAATAATACAAGAATATATATATATAGAGAGAGAAAGAGAAGACCATAAACTTAGGGCCCTATCATACACCCCGTGCAATGCAGCGCCAGGCGCAAGTATGTTTTGCTAGTTTCAGCCTGACGCAGTTATCATTTTCACGTCCTGCACCACGTTGTTTAAATAGCAAATGCATTTGCGCCCATAGGCGTGCTGGTCAAAACGAGGTGTGTTCAGGCGCATTGTTGGCGCGTTGCTATTTTGTGGCAACTGAAATAGACTGCGCCATTGACCAACTGAAAACCTTTTTGTTATTTAAAGCGCGCATTAGTAAAATGAGCCTATAGGCGGATCCACAACGCGTGTACCCTCTGCTTATTACACACACAGGGCAAATATTAAAAATGGAAGGATTACAATGTAAAAGATTATTATTCTGTTCATAAAGATATGGTAAAAATTGGGAAATTACACTCGGGTGTGTTTTGGGCGTAACATGCAAAAAAAACAATCAATTACTCATTAAGAGAATATAGACAACCTTTTTAGACCATGTCCTGTGCGCCGACCATTTTTCCCGTCGTTAAAGGGATAGTTCACCCATAAATGAAAAATAGCCCATGATTTACTCACCCACAAGCCATCCTAGGTGTATATGACATTCTTCTTTCAGACGAATACATCATAGTGCATCCATCCATGATAAAAGTGCTCCACACGGCTCCGGGGGGTTAGTAAAGGCCTTCTGAAGCGAAGTGATCTGTTTGTGTAAGAAAAATATCCATATTTAAAACTTTATCGACTAAAATAACTAGATTTAGGCAGTAATTCCCCATTAATACAGTTGACTTGAAGGAGTGAATGAAAATAAGTGAGTGAATTCGGACAGCCGTTGTTATTGCAGTGCAATATGGGATTGAATGAGTGCACTCAGTAACGTCCACTATGGTTTCGGACACCACTACAAATGGCTGTCCTCTCAAATAATGCCCTATTTTAGGGTATAGGGGGAGATTTTGGATTCAGCCCATGACTATGAAAACTACAAAATAAAAGACATGAAAACATAAACATGAACCAAAACTCAAAACTAACGTGACAATACAAATATTTTATTTGTCTATATAAAACACATTTTATGTATATTTACTTTTTTTATTATTATTATTAGTAATATTATTATAAATAGTGAAATTTATTTATATAAAAATAGTAACAATAAATAAAATATAGAAAAATATTGATGATTATACTTTATCATCAAATATTTTAAAAGTGTAATTATATAATAATAATGAACACATATGAATACATATAAATAAATAGTATAAATTAATAATAACAATGATAATTTATTATAATGTGCAAAAACTAATATGCAAAATTTTATTTTATATTATTGTTGTTGTTGTTTGTTTAATTAATTATTGTTGCTAATTTTATTGATTTATTTGAAACATGTTTCTGGTACTGGTTCTCTATAACAGGGGTGCCGACCGCTGCCGTCACTACATGGTGGAGATGCAGAACAATGGGAAGTATGTGATTCTCGGGGAGGACCGGGCTCATTCCTCCCTCACAGACCTGGTCCAGTACCACAGTCAGGTGGGCATCAAGCCCTTCATGGAGCTGCTCACGGTGCCCTGTGGTCAGGTGGGTGTGCTTCACTCGTGGAAGGGCTTTCACTGCCCTTTTGTCTGATATAAAGATGGAGTGTGGTGTGTGTGTGTGTCTACAGATGTGTGATCGGGAGCCGGACTATGAGGAGCTCAAAGCTTTTACATCATCATCATCGGAGAGCAGCGCTGCGTTTCATGCTGAGGACATGGACACGTGTTCAAATAAAGTGCATGTACAGATGCAGAGACTCTTCCTGCCGCCGGGAGGAAACTCAAACGTTGAGTCGCACAAACCCCCGGTGCTCAAGCGCATATCTGACCGGCGCAGACGGGTCGAGGCCGCACAGACGGAGCACAAGGACGACGATCCCAACCTCGAGAGCAGGCCGTTCCCTCGACTCTACCCGTCCATACGACTGGCCATGAGGGAGATCCAGCAGATCCAACAGGTACAAACACACAAAACATATTGAAGATATATAGACCGGCACACTTTTTACTCCAGTGAATATTTATTATTGAATAATATTATTCAGTTTGTATACACATAAACATCAAGCTTAGACTAGGGGGAAAATTAAATCAAGCTATTATAACATTTGCACCTTTATGGGCAACACCCCCAGGGCATGTTGTCTCACTATGTGGGGTAAGTTGTCACAATGGGAACCTGCTATTTGACAGACTTTTCAGATATATATATAAAACTGGGGAAGGAAATAAATAGAATGTAAAAGGAAGAAAAAAAAAGAAGAAAAAAAAATATATATATATACTGTTTAAACTTATAAATAGAATGAGTATATACTATTTATTTATTTATTTTATTTACATAGTATAATGATTAAATGCAAAATTATAATTTTTTTTGTTTGTTTAATAATTTATTAAACAAACTAGGTTATTTAGTACCATTGATATACTATTATATTTTTTATATATTTTGAATTAGACTCTATTTTTCTGTTTTCACTTTAATTTAATTAGTTTAGTTTTGAACTGTCTACATAGTTTTGTTAATTTTTACTTTTTTTTAGTTTTAAGTTATTTTAGCACTTCAAGTTAAATAAAACTAAGACTAGCTGTATTGTTCTACCTGTATTTTATTTCAGTTAACGTATATATTTTATTTCAAGTAACAAGTTTTTGATATATAAAATATATAATATTTATACGATAATAACCCTGATCTGTATAATATTTCTTTGTTATTTTAGTTTCTCTATTGGTCCCTAATTTAGATCCTGTTTTTCAAACAAAATCACACAATATTTCAACGCGATTGTGTAACGAACTGTTAGAAAAGATGCCAGAAAAGCCTCATTTCTGTGCCGTAGGGAAAATGCCACCTTGATAGTGTGAGGTGAAGAGCCTGTGGATTGACATTTTGATGTGTGTTTGTTTTGTTTAAACAAAAGTACATTGAACTTGCATGATTTACCCAAAGTGAACTCACTAGACTGGAATTTCACCCGGCTGTGATGTAATCTCTTTACATGTTGTTTCAAATCCCATGTCTTTCCCAGCACTTCCAGCAGAGCCAAGAACAGATCCAAGTGCCCTCTGGCAAACCCTTGAGCTCATGGAAGAGGACGGGTGAGTCCTGAATCAATCTTTCTATGTTTCTTTTCTTTACCCTTTTCAATGTCTTTAATCCGTGAACAACCCATATGACTTCCTTGAAACACAAAAGAAGATCCAAAGCATCTCAAGTGCCCTCCAGTGTAGTGACCGTAAATGCACTCAAACTGAATGCAACTTCATATGATGCTGTGCGAGTGGATAAAGATCATTTTTAGTTTATTATATGCTAAAATATTTCACAAAAATCTAATTTAGTGGTGCGTTTTTCCTCACTTTTGCAGTTTGAAAGCCCAAACTCCTCATTATAAAAACAGTTTAGAATGCAGTTTTGAGTGAATTCATTTATTTGATCAAATGCATTTCTCGTCTCTTTCTGTCTTTCAGATGCATGAAACTGTGGAGAATGAAACGACAGATGTTCTTGATGCTGCTATCCAATTTTTTTTAGGTTTATGTAAATGTAAAATTTTAATGTAGTTACGGTGAAAACTACATTGATTTAAAGCAATTTTAACTTAATTCTTATTATTGGTTGTAATTTTATTTAATGTAAATTATGCTGTTTTTAGGTGATTGAATAAATGATTGTTTCATACACTACAGGTCTCTGTTTTTGAACGCATGAATGAAAATCTCTAAACGCTTGAGGCTGAATGTAGCAGAAAGGTGAAGTGTTAATTGTCTGTCACACACGCTGATGAATATGCCGATCGTCATCTCGTAATAGGTGGAGCTTTAACAGCACATATAAGAGTGATCAGAGTCTCAGATCTCGCAGGATTTACAGGGAATCTCACCGATCTTCCGATGGATCTCGTAGTGCTCGCGATTTTACTGTCCATCACCTTCAGCGCCGCTCAAGGTAATACTTAGGGTTACTGCAAATCACATTCATGTTCACATTCATTAGGGTTACTGCAAATCACATTCATTTGCTTCAGATTAAGATTAAGGATAGATAGTTTTGCATTACAATTTTTGAATATATATTTTTATATTTTGTGTGTGAGTGTGTGTGTAAAATATATATATATATATATATATATATATATATATATATATGAAAAAAATACAAATATATATATACACAGGTTTTATATATACACTACCGTTCAAAAGTTTGGGGTCGGTACGATTTTAAATACTTTTAAAAGAATTCTCTTCTGCTAACCATGGCTGCGCTTATTTGATTAAAAATACAACAAAAATCAGTTATAGTATTAAATATTATTCCAGTGTAAATCAGCTGTTTTCTGTGTGAATATATAGTAAAGTGTCATTTATTCCTGTGATCAAAGCTGAATTTTCAGCATCACCAGTGTCAGTGTCTTCAGTGTCAAATGATCCTTCACAAATCAGTATAATATGAGGATTTGATGCTCAAGAAACATTTATTATTATTATCAATGTTGAAACAGTTGTTGGTCTGTCAGTTGTACAGTTTTTATTTTTTTAGGATTCTTTGATGAATAGGAAGTTCAAAAGAACAGCATTTGTTTGAAATAGAATCTTTTGTAACATTATAAATGTCTTTACTGTCCTTGATAAATAAAAGTATTGATTTCTTTCCTCCAACAAATAAAAATAAAATTCTCACTGACCCCAAACTTTTGAACGGTAGTGTATATATATATATATATATATATATATATATACACACACAAAATAAAAAATATATATTAAAAATTGTAGACACATATAGACACATAGATATACACACATTTATGGATGGATAGATTTATTTATATATATATATATATTCAAGATAAAACACAATAATGGGAATAAATACAATTTTTATATATATATATATAAATAAATCTATCCATCTATAAATGTGTGTATATCTATGTGTCTATATGTGTCTACAATTTTTAATATATATTTTTTATTTTTTGTGTGTGTGTATATATATAAAACCTGTGTATGTGTATATATATATATTTGTATTTTTTTCATATATATATATATATATATATATTACACATATATATATATATATATATATATATTCAAGATAAAACACAATAAGGGGAATACATATTATTTATTTGTATATATATATATATATATATATATAAATCTATCCATCCATAAATGTGTGTATATCTATCTGTGTCTACAATTTTTAATATATATTTTTATATTTTGTGTGTGTGTGTATAAAACCTGTGTGTGTATATATATTTGTATTTTTTTCATATATATATATATACCGTACACCACACACACAGGTTTTGTATATATATATATATATATATATATATATATTATATATATATATATATATTCAAGATAAAAGACAATAAGGGGAATAAATATAATTTATATATATATATATACCGTATACAAAACCTGTGTGTGTAATGTGTATATATATATATATATATTTATTTGTATGTTCTTTTTTTTACACTGCAGGAATTAATCTTTTAGTCTTTAAAACAATTGCCATTAATACCTCTGAAATATGCAGCATATAGAATCGATGCATTCATGTCTTATTGCATTTATCAGTGTTAGTGGTGGATTTGGTTTTGATTTCCAGGCGCCACACCCAAATGTTGTGTTGAAACGACTAAAAAGTTTCCTCTTGAAGTTCTGCTGAAGGTCACGAAATACGACGTCCAGACGGGCCAAGGAGTGTGTACGATTGATGCCCTCGTGTGAGTTATTTATATTTCATGTCTTCTGAATTATGAATTTCTGAGAAGGATCATTAAAGCAGAGAATAGCCCATGTGTCAATCATAAACCTCCCGTTTCAGATTGCATGTCAAAGACAAGAGATACTGTGCAACACCCAAGCTGGAGAGACTTCTGAAAATGATACTGTCAAAACCGAGGAACGGTCTTAAATACGGTTCTGCTGTTTGAATGGGATCAGAGGATATAATGCATCATAAACATGTGTAAAGATCCTTTACTTTCTTCTGTAACACTTTATTATAAGGTGACATAGTTACACATGTTACATGTACTTACTATAGTAATAACAGTAAATTATGCATAATTAAGTATCTAACCATACATGTAGTTAACAATTACTACGAAGTACTTATTTGTGTAATTATACTGTAACAACATCCTTAAAATAATGTGCAACCCTTTCTTCTGTTTGCATGTTTTTCTACATTAGCTTGATGAACTAGGTTACCTTGCATATGTAGTTACTAGTCTTGAACCCATTTTGTTGAATGCTTTATAACTGCTTTCTTACAACAAAATAAAGATGTTTTTTTATATATTTCTCATGCTTTAAAATATACTCTGTATTAAGTTGTATATATATTATGTTTGTAATGGCACATTAGTTTGAGAAAGGCTCATTATCCATTTTTACTTAATGGTAAAAAGTTTTAAAAGCATATCAACAGCACGTCTTGAGTTATGGTTCAAATAAAGGGCTGTTCGTGTGATTGATGAAGGTACTTTGGATATTTTCTATTTAAACAAGGGTCTATAATAAAAAAACATCAGTCTTCTGAGTAAAGACATATATTAAGATATTTACAAACTATATATATACATAAGTTAACAATGAGCAATATATTTTACAGCATTTCTTAATCTTTGTTAGATTAACAACAACAAAATAAAATTACTGGTAGTTTATTCTTGTTAGTTCACAGTACATTAACTAATGTTTACAGACATTATTAGTATATCATTTCAAAAAACATTAAGGCGACATCATGTATACTTTCTTAAATTTATTTAAGTGTTATTTCTTATTAATGCCATGAGAATTATATTTCCATCCGTTTTTATTCACTACTGTTAACAATCTTTCTGAAGGTTTTACTGTTACTGAAATACATATAGCATAAAGTGGTAACTTTACAAACTTTCCCATTAATATTACTAATACATTAACAAATATTATATAACACTGAGCAATACTTTTTTACACTATTCATTCATTCATCTTTGTTAATGTTAGTTAATAACAAATAGAGCTGTTTATAAAATATTCGCTCAGGTCAATTAAATAATATTAACTGATGGAACTTTTGATGTATTAGCAAATGTTACAATTTACATTAAAGGTAGCCTACACTATGTATGTTCAAAATTAAAAACATTTAAATCTTGAGTCAATACATCATCAAACCTCGTTCCAAAACGTGTTTTTGTCGTACCCTGATTCACTATAATAAGCGTTTATATTTTAGACCGGGCGGGATGGTTTTCGCGGGAAATTGCGTAGACATACGTCACTCGCCGACCCGTGCGCGACTGCGCGTCGCTCCGGCTACGTCGACGCCCGTGTGGTGTGGGAATGCCATAGGTTTCTATTACTCAACAGGTGAGTACGGTATTTTACTGAAGATATAAATTGCCACATGTAGAGCTCTCTAACAGCGTTCATTGTAAAGCATCTATTGTGAAGATCATTATGGTTGTTGTAGCGCTGTGCTGGAAATTATTTAAGGAATACAGTAACGTCTTCAGCTAGTCAACTTGAGGTCATTTCCATTTAAACTGGTTATATCTCTTAAGCCTAGTAATTAATGTTTTTATGAGCAGTAGGAATATCTCTTTTTTTAGTTATGAGAAAAAAACATATTCATCCGCATAGTCACGCAAAGCCGAAGCACAAAACAAAGTTCTTCCGCATAATGCATGGTTTTGTTTTTTAACCGCTAGAGGACCTAAAGATACCTTTAACTAAAATTTTATAAACGGTTTACAAGTATTTTTTCATTCATTGTTAATTCATGTTAACTTATGAAACCTTATTGTAAAGCGTTTCCCTGTAAATTTAATCTAGAATACTTTCTACAGTAATCAAAGTGTTCACACTTGAGCAGACAATAATGACGACACGAGATACAAGGCATATTTTTATTTCTAAAAAAAAAAGTTGATTCACACCACACAGAGCGCATTAAATCAATGTCAAACCATTTCACAGTTTACGTCAGATGCGTTTACAGACGTTTGGCTTCCCCTTCATTATAATTACTATCCAGAATCAGAAGTTTTTATGGACACAGAGTCTAAAGACAATGAACAATGACGATAAATCACTCAGGATCCAAGTTTTCATAAAATGTGGTCCAGGTTTTAACAAACAGTTGACTAAATATAAAGCAAGATAAGCCTTTTTAGATCACATGTTTTCAGCTCACTACATATGTATTTCACATTCAGTGGGTTTATATGGATTATTTTGGCACATTACTTTTGCAGATGTTTTTTTCTATATTTCATACAGACGTGTTATAGACGCTGCGCTTTGAGCTTTACATGAAGCAGAACCACTGACCGTCAAAATAACACACAGCTCTCAAACACACCAACTACTTTGGTAAAAAAAGGTCACTTTTGTTAATAAAGGCAGTTGAAACCCAATCAACAAACAAGTGAGAAGTAGTCAAGAAAACATTTCTTATCGCAGTCAAACACAACACTAATTAAATCAAATAAATATGATTATAAATAAATACACATACAAGTTGGCACATAAAACTGAATTAGCCTTTGCACTGGTTAACCTCAACTATAAAACCTTCCCGTTACTAAGATTGGCACAGTGCTTTCTAACTAGACATAACTAATGACCAGTGCGGTTTACTTCATCATGAGATGGTGAAGAGAAACCAATGTTAGCATCAAGGAGAGTTACTCGATTGTCTTCTGACCGGTTGTTGGGTATGAACCTTATTTTTTGAAAATTAAGTGACTGAAGCAGAAATAGGGCTGGTCGATATATCGAATATTAGCCATATTTTCATGATAATCACAGAACATTGTGAGTATCGAATTTTGTTGAAAATTAAGATTAATAAAATGAAGTAGGTGGTCAGTCTGTTTTTTGCACTGAACATTTTTAATGGGCTTTGAAACAGCTATCCAAATATATATATATATATATATATATATATATATTTTTTTTTTTTTTTTTTTTTTTTTTTTAAACACCAATTTTAATCATTCTGAAGCCAATGACAAAATATCGAGATGTATATTGTTGTCAAAATTTGGAAAGATATTGCCCAGGCGAGCGTCAGGTGCAATCGTCCAAAACAGAGTTGATCATTAAAACACACACGCTGCTTATTCAAACACAAATGACACTTTCTGATCTTTCATTTTATTTGTTCTCTATATATACACTAATTAGTCTGATAACACTCCTGCATAATATAAAATGTATTACTTTCAATACAATAAAGAAATAAAAAATAAAATCCCTTAAAATTAGGGGTGTGACGATGCACTTGGCTCACGAGAACGAGATGATATTTTAACATTATTTTAAAGAAACCTTCAATGACGAAAAATATGATGAGAAAATTAGTCTATTATTTGACTGAAAGTCACAAAATGTAAAACAATGCAAGTGCATTTTGAAATGTTTTAACTAGAGCTTTTTGAACAAGTTTGAAACCACTAGAACAATTTTGTGATTTCAAACAGAGATCGTGATTCTGATAGACACCTTAACCAAAATAACATGTGATTTACTAGATTGCTGTGGTCGATTTAAAATGTTTAATTAATCTGAATAATAATAAAAAATATAAATGAATGATTCAATGACTCACTCATAAATAATTAACTTGTTTCATTACTGGATGAATCAATGTTTTTGGATGAATCTTTTGAATGAATGATTCAAAGACAAATACATTTTATAACAGTCACGTGTCGCCACCTACTGGCGTAACGATGTAATCATAGTTATTTAAAGGCCATGGTGCAGGTTAAACACTACTATCGATTAATGGGTACATAAAGCAGTTAAGATATGTATATAAAGTTAGAAATGTCTCCAAAATTGTGTTAAAGTCCAGTTTTTGACGTTTTTGGTTAGTAACGGTTATTTTTTTACGCGACTCGGCGATGACGTCACATGAGGTAGACGCAGGCAGCGGCGCGCTTGGTTTAGTTACAGTTCTGATGGTTCACAGCCGAGGAGATCGATGTTCTCGTCAGGGCCGTAAAATAAAGAGAAGTGACATTGGGCCGGGGATGGGACAAACCCACCCAAATTAGCTTCGGTTAAACATGCACATAATAATTTGGGTAAATGTGTACGCTTTATGCCTATTTTTCCTATCGTCATGAACACAACAATGATTTCACTCGTGTTTAAATAGTTTTCCTTATAATAATGTATCATTTGCAAAAAGTAAAATGCATCTGTGTAGATGAGAGAATCATCTACAGTGTATGCGCGTTGTTCATTCTGTATTATGGCCAAGCATGCGCGCTTAAAATAGCATCTGAATGTACGCGCTAGACCTAGACTTTAGACTAGGTTAGGGTGACCAACAGTCCTGTTTTCACGTCCTGTCCTGGCTGGGTTTTTTTTTTTAATTATGAAAATGTCCTGGTTTTCAAAACTTCTGGGAAAGATCAGCTCTAAAGCAAAACATAGATGGGCAAACAAGGAGAATGAGGAAGAAAAACAGGATAAAGAGGAAGACTAAAGATACATTTTGTTAGTTTGTTTTTGTAAGCTTGTGAGAGCTATTTTTGTTAAATTTGGAGGTATTTCTTTTAGTTATTTCTTATTTATATATTTATTTTTCTAATACAGAAGAGACATTATTTCATTCATTCAAACCTGTAATAATTATATATTTATTTTTCTAATACAATAGACATTTCATTCATTCAAACCTTTAATAAAACAGGCTCTGAGAAGGCTATCTGAATTTGTGTCTTGTAATATAACCATTTTCTACAGAGGAGGCATAGGCTACTTTAAATATACTGAAATTAATAAGGCATCATTGAGTAAATTTCGAGTATAATTTGAGTATCTGTTTGCCAGGCCGAGTGTCCTGCTTTCACCTCTATCTCCAGTGAAAATGTTGTTTGCAAACGTAGCTGACGACAAGTAGGCTGGTCATGTCTTCAGTCAGTGTGATTATTGTTGATAATGCTAACTAGTTTTCCTCGTGACTGTCAATGACACCGTCAGGCTTACCGGGAGAGGGAGTGAGTTGCGGGCGGTGTCGTCCCATGGAAACTGTGGTGGAGAGCTTGTGTTGTAGGGAGGTGAGCGCGTTTTGGTCGCTGGTCGAGGACCTCACCCCGCGGCCAGCAGTTGTAACGTGCCTAACGCAGCATCCTGGATATGAGGCATAATGCCTGAATCCAATTGTGCTACACATAGCATACTCACACTTCATGCAGGATAATGCTCCCCTTCAAGCCAGCACGCACGAGTATGTTCATGGTTTATGTTTACTTTATCTTTTTATTTTTTACACTGAGTCCTTTGAACAA